AAGCGAGCTGCTCCTCCCGATGGCCAGCGGTTCGAATCAAAGCCCAGCGAGGCCAGCTTCCTGGCCATGTTGACAACTAAATAACACGTTAATGTGTTTATTGCGTATGCTACTGGGTCCCCAGAGCCTTGCATAAGCCTCAGCTGGGACTGGGTTGGAGCTGATGCTGAAGCTGGAGCTGGAGATGGAGCTGCCGGCAGATGGAGATGGACCGAAGCTGGAGCCGTCGACTTGGACTTGTGTTAGGTGTCGCGGCCAACACATTCGATCTGGCCTGCTCTTGATCCGCACGGCTCACAACTTTCGCATTAAACATGAGGCTGGCCGAGTGAAACGCAGACGGGGACACAAAACGCGTTTCACGCCCTGGCCAGAAGTCAGAAGCTTGGGAACTGGTTGCACTTGGGGCTGCTCCTTAACATTTATTTATGTATTTATGAAAACGTCATGCGATCACTCGGATCAGCGGTAATCGTATGCTGCGCTGCCCAACAGCCCCGCGCCCCTTACATTCGCCCCCTAATGTCAGCACCATAAATAAAAGATTAGCTTGTGCGGAATAAACATTTCGCCAGTTACCCGGACTTAAAATGTGTCGCAATAAAATTCTGAATTATTGCACCAGATATTGGGGAATCGGCGGATGCCTCAAGGCAGGATGAATAGGGGAACAATAGCTATAGAAATCTAGTCTTGCGCTGTCGATAGCTAAATATCCTTTCGTTAATAATAATGCTAATGTTAATAATAATAACAAGAATAATTTCTTCCCTAGTAAAGGTTGTAAAGTTTCAATTCAAAAGAAAAAAGTTTAGTTGTTTTAAATTGTTGGCAACAAAATCAAATTTTTCAAGGGTTTTAATGCCGTAACTTGGTCAAAACACGACGCACAACTGGAAGACTGACATTTATGTGCAGCTTAAGACCGAAACTGTCACACCCCATCACTAACTTAAAAATTTTTTTTTTTTAATTTTCGCATTATTCTTAATGGGTTATATTAGGCTTTTTTGTAAAATTCGGATACAAATTAAATTTTGTCCGGTTTTAATTTCAGATGCTTGGAAATTTAATTACGAATCAAACGAGTTATGGCATTCCTAGGTTGGTCAATTAGTTTAATTTGTATGGCCAAAAATCGTACTGTTCTTGGCCGAAATTCGGGTTTTTGATTGATAAATCGCCATTTAGGACTTTCCAGTCAACTTCCTTTTATCGTCGTCAACTACTTTTATTGGTTGATAATTATAGGCTTAACTTAAATACTTACCTTTTGAAGTCATAATATATTTAATATATTTTATAGTGCCCATAAAATTACTACTAGTTATTTAATTTAAATGCAATAAAAAGTGAAAGAGAAATGGGAGCGATTTGATCTGCATTAGGAGGTGTTGCCTCCCGTTGCCGCCGCCGCCGTTCTTGTTCCGTCGGCAGCTGCGTTTCCCTTCCGCTCAGTGGGCCAGATCAAACGCTGCTTGTCACGTGCCTCACGTGCCACGCCCCCAGCTGATTAAATTAGCGGATTTATGTGCTCCGGCGACAATCGACGGACAGACATTTATATCTAGGCACGGCGAGGCAAAAGCGAGCTGCGCGTAATTGCCAGTTTCGGATTTCGTATTTCGTATTTCGGTTTTCGGAGCTCCGCGCAGGCGCAGCTGAAACGGTGATTTACCGCCCTGCCCCTCGCCAGCCCTCCCCCTCTTGGCCGTGATACTGCCGGGTCTCGTTACACAAGCCAACTCTGTTACAAATGTCAGCCGACCTTACGCACTGCCGGTCTGATGTTCGCCGCCAAATGTCAGCGACTCGAGAGTGCGAGAGAGCAAATTAATTCATTTTCAACACCTATTTTGACAGTTCATAAAATACATTTGTCATAAAATCGGTCAGAGACAGCGACTACTACTCGATGTGGTCGTTCGGCCGGGGCAAGATTTATGTGCCTCATTGAAAATACAATTCAAGAAGGGCCTGTTTGCCTGCCTGCCGCCTGCCTTCCTGCCACATCAAATTTGTCCCTTTTCGCTGGACCTTTGTCTCTGCTTTTTTCGGCCCATTTGTTTGGCTCGTTTGGTTGTCTGGGAAGAGGGATCGAGGGCCGGGCCCAAAGCGAGTTGCAGAAGCAGAAATCTTAACAAAGTTATTTTAGCAAACGGTACGACAAAAAATGTCATGTCCCCAAACATTGCAACAGCCCAGCGAGCATCCTGCGACGTCCCCGATGAACTGGCCGAACTGGCCAACTGACCACTGCTCTGCAATCGATATGCGTGCAGATGCTCCACTTTGATCAGGTCATCAGCGACACATCGTTCATCATTCCGAGCGGACGGTGCGCAGGAATGCAGCAGGAGGGGAGGGGGAGGGGAAGGGGGAGTAGGAGCTATGCATGACCAGTAGCCGAGTTCAAGACAATGGGCCACAGCCATGAAAGGAACGCTTTTCAAGTTTTACGCCAAAGACCCAATGTCTGGGCTTTGGGTTTGGGCTTGGGCTTGGGCTTCGGACTTGGGCTTCAGCTTCAGCTTCAGCTTGGGCTTGAGCTGCAGCTGAAGATGAGGCTGGGAGCGGAGCTGGATGGAGCGACTGAGGATGAGGATCCCAGGGCCAGGCTTCGACTTTGACGGATGAATTTCACAAATAACTTCAACTGCTGCTGCAGTGCAGCTCTGCTGTTTTTATTTAGCTGCTACTGCCTGCGTTATTTATTGTACGAGTATTTGGCCTGGACTCACGGACGCACCACTACACTCAGCGAAGTCTATTGGAAACTACACAAAAACAATCAATTTCTACAACTATTTTCAGAAATTAAGAAATTTTCTTAGGATGCTGATTAGATTTATCCGAAGAATATAATTACTTATCTTACATATCCTTATTAGAAAATCGCTTTTAAAAAACGAATTAAAAATAATACTAGCATTAGATTATTAGTTAATATTTTAAAACATATGACATTTCTCCATTACCCAATCATCTCATTTACCAAAACATTTTACAAAATGCTCTATTTTTTCAGAGTGTACCTATTTTGGAGCTGGAACTGGAGGTGCAGCCTGCAGGCTGGACTTGGCGTTGACACAAAACCTTGTTGAGTTTCGGAACGCAGGCCAGCGAATGACAGCAACAACGTTGGATGTCCCCGTTGTGTCTAAGTTTGGTATGCGTCATTTTTACAAGGAAATTCCTCTGACTTTGTGACTTCGAATCCGAATCCGACTCGAACTCGGACTCGGACTCGGACTCTGACTCTGCCTCTCTGGACCAGAGCAGTCCGGTCCTGCTGCTAATTTATGTAAACACGCTAAGTACAGTCCTAGCTGCACTTCGCTCCCTTTCCGTTGCCCCCTCAATTAGAACCCATTGAGACCGCGGAGCTCGCGAATTCCGGCTGAAATTTTAAATTGAAATCGCAAAAAGCGCTCACAAATGCAAAATTTTCCGCGAGCTGGCATTCCTCTGGCCGGCCATTGTCTTCCGATGGCCGGGTCGGAAAGGTGTTGATTTAATGAGGCCCAGGCAGGCAACCGCATGGCTCTGGGGTTCTTGAGGCCTGTCCGATGTTTTCGGATGCGAGGCGACATCGAGTGCTGAGTGAATCTTCAGTCTTAAATCTGAAATCCAGCGGTGATTGACATGGCTCGGGATATTCTGGAATACTTTCGAGGGTCTTTGTGCTCGGCTGAAGTCTCCTTTTTGCGGCTAATTAATTGGCTGCAAATGAAACACTTAAGCGGCTGAAATCGAGGCGTGTAAATCAGTGTTTTCCTCACTCGGCAGGCATATAGCACAGAGCTCTCCATCCCTCGAAAACGATGTCGCTTCAAGGACATAATGGAACCATTCATTGAGCCTGTAAAAGCCCGCCCGACTCAAGCATATCCTGTTGCGTTCTTTCATGATTAATGGAACAGATTTTCCAGCTTCCTTCCGCCCTCCACACAGATACACTCTGCGGCGCACGCAGAGACACAGTTGCCACTTAACTTTTTCAAGTGTAATGCATTAATGTGCCGCCGTGCCGCGGCATCCTTCCCCGCACCCCTCCTCCGCACTCCTGAAAGGACAGCCAATGTCCCTGGAAGTGGCCCTCTACCGAACACAATGCGGGTTTTATGTTTAAATTTTTTGTATTTTTTATTGGACTTTTCTCGCTTTTTTCTTTGTTGATTTGATTTAAAAATTACATTAGTTACTAAAAATTAAATGGTTTCGGGATCGGGAAGGGGAGGGGAGTCGCTAGGCTTCTTCTGTGATTTTGTGTTGCCATTTTCTAGATTAAAACTAATTAATTAAATGCTAGCACATAATGTTTTGTCGCTTTCGCCTTCTTGTTTATGCATTTTTTGTAAATTTGATTTTGCTTGAATTTAATCATGTGTTTAATGTTACTGTTTACATTGCAATCGCGCACTCAGACACACATTCACGCACTCACTCGCACTTTAGTTGTTAAGCTATCAATTATTTCCTTTTGCTCTTGCTGTGGTTAAATTAAACTAGAGTGAAACACACGCACTAATTACCGCTTAAACTAGATTATGTTAATCCATAACTACAGCTACAGCAAGCTCAGCAGCGAGTCGAAATTCGAGTCTGGATTAGCCTGGGTTTCGTTCGTTAAAATGGGGCTTCCCTTGCCGTTCGATGCACCTTCTGCCAGAGGACTCTAAGTTAAAAGGCGGTCTATACAAAATTTACACTTCAAGCAATTAATTCCCTTGTCATAGAGGCCAACAAGTGGTGGATAAAATTATATTGCACAATAAAAGAACGAAAGTATTCTCTCTGGAAGGTGGGCTTCTCTTGTTTAGGTGCAAAGAAACATACAAAATAAATGGAAACATATTACAAGAATTAAGAGGATTGTTCCTTTTGCATTTGAGATCTGATTTTACTGATTTCTGTTGCTTGTTCTTTTGCTTTTTGACTTTTCTACTCAAAAACAAAACACTCGAAAGAAACTCTTAAGATCAACAGCTGATTTTTCATTTTGTTTGATTTCATTTATTTATGATGTACTTTTTACGTTTTTATACTTTGTTGTTGCTCACTACATATAGTTTACGTTCATATAGATAGATTTATACATAGTTAATTCGCTAAATTAAACAAAATTAAAGGACACGTTTCATACTCTCTCCTTGCTTCTGTGATTGAGGAATGTTTTCTGTTTTAAGTATTTTTTTGTTTTTTCTTTTGTTTTCTTTTTGTCTTGCATTTGTGTTTGTGTTCTTAGCTAGACTACACTTTAGAACGACTTTATTCACGCTGGTAAACATATTTATATTACGTTTAAAATGTACAAAACTTTACTCTTAACTTGCCAGATTTCTTGCCTTCTTTCTCGACATTGTCATGGATATTTTACAGGTTGCTATCATGGTTTATTGGCTAAGATATTGTGTGCTGCACGGCCCCGCCCCCGCCCACGCCCCCCGAAGGCCCCTCCGGCGAGGTCCTGCCGCTGGAGGAGATGCTGGGCCTCCGCCTGCTGCTCCAGCTGCAGCTGGTGCAGCCCCAGCTCGGGGCAGGAGTGCTGGTAGAGGGACTGGTGCTGCTGCTGGTGCTGCGTCCAGGCAGCCGAGGGCAGCTGGTTCGGATGCTGTTAGACCGCCGGCCAAACACTGTGGGTGGAAAGGGGGGAAATCGTGAGAAGTGTTGTGGGTGTTGGGTGGCCAAGGTCGGAGGAAAGCGAGCCCAGGAGCTGCTTCACCGCTCACAACCAGACTGAGATAGCAGGGGCACAACGGGGTCTGGGTACTCACGTCACTAGTGATGGATTCGTCTCGGGCTGATACCAGTACTGGGGCACGTAGCCACCCATCTGGGGCGGCGGGTTGTGGTGGTGCGTCTGCGGATGGAGCGCTGCCGCGGGATGAGGTGGCTGAGGCGTCATTTGGGGCGGCGGCTTGTGGTCGATCCAGTGCGGCTTCTGGTCCCACGGCGCTTGCGTTGGCGGACTGAGGCCCGTTGGTGGGAATTCTGTGGGCAAAAGGGCGGCGGATGAAGTGGATTCGAGGCGCGGGACCAGCGGGCGGGCAAACTCACCAGGTGAAAGCTCGGACACGGGTGTACTCGATGGCGTTGGACTGTGTCCGGGAGGTAGATAATGTGAGGGTGAGCCGCTGTTCGAGCCACCGCCGTTATTACCGCCTGTGGGGTTGACAAAATCAAGTAATCCGTCAGTTCCCGATGTCCCACTAAGGTAGCTCCCGTCCCCAAACTCACCACTGTGCATTTGATTGGGACTGTGCTGGCCGGGATTGGGTCCTCCGCCGCCCAGGGGCATGCCGCTGTTGGTGCCTGGACCCTGGGCCGCCTTCATCATCTTTTTGTACTTGGACCGCCGGTTCTGGAACCAGATTTTCACCTGCAAGCAAAGGTTGGATTCAATTAGCGTGGGAATTGGCCGCTACAAACTACAACTGCCAATCGGCTAATGCGATTCGACAGCATCCTTAATCGGGGCAGAACCCCACTAACAGATTCATTTACAGCTAGAGATACAGATACTAACGCCGGCTGCTTTTCAAACCGCTTTTCAGTTGAAATTAAGAGTGAGCGCTCGTGAAAAGCGGCTGGCAGGAAAATGGCTCTATAAACTATGGATTTTGGCAGCGTGCGACACATATTCATGTCTTAATCGCGCTGCAGCCCGAGATGTGTTTCATCAGTTGCGAAACCCGTATCTTTGGAGCAATTGAAGCGACGGCAGCCGAAAAGTATCTCGCAGATACTTTCAGTTTTCATTTTTGAGGGGTACTGGCACTCCAAGCCCCAGCTGCTGGTAGAACTAATTGTGCGCTGAGCTGTGAGTTGTGAGTTGTGAGCTGGCGGAGCACTTCACTTTTGAAAGCCTCGCAGCTGAAGCTCCACCGGATCCGAATCCGAATCCGAGTACGAATGCGAATCTGAGTCTGACTCAGACCGAGTATAAATATAGATACGAGCAGTAACAGCGCGTATCTAATGCTGCTTACCAGTATCTGCGCCTGCAATCTTGCACGTTGACTCTGCCATGGCGTCCACGTTGAGCCAACATTGTGTGTTTTATGCACATGTACTCGGCGTTATATCTAGATACTCGCTAGATACTGCTCTATGTTATAAACTTGCCCGGCCAGACTTGCTCAAGGTCGTTCTTCGCGGTTGGCTGGACTTTTGTAGCGCCGCTCGAGCTCGCTTTTTGTGTTTGGCGAATTTCACTGACTTGCGTTTTGGCTTTTCGGTTTTTTGCCCATAAAAACAGCTGGAGGAGACTCGGCTTTTATGTGCATTCCACCCATCGATTTCAATTAGCCGATAGCTACCCGAATTGACTGTCTGGCCTGAGCTAATCGCGCCCCAATCCCAATCCATTGCCGGATCATTGACATTGGCGGCCCCGAACTACGGTAGCCGAAATCCACAGGCACATTTTCATTTCCATTTCATTTTAGTGCTCAATCATGCGCGAATCGTTATGTCAGTCCACAGATCGCCTCACTTGGAGATACCTTTTAGGCTGCCGAGAGTTCAGCTGTTGCTGTATTGGTTTTCCGAACCAAAGAAGAGACTGGGAAAGGAACTGTCCTAGGAAACACATTATTTCCCACCATACACAGCGCTGTACATCGTGTACACAGATATATTTAGATGTTACGCAAGGCAGGTCAAGCGAGAAATCTGCGCTCAATGATAAAACACTGTCGAGGTCTCAAATAAATAGTCACTCTTTTGGAAACATTTAATCAAACACTTTTCTATGTCATTTGCCAAGTCACAAAGCCAAGCAAGTGTCAAAACTAATGGCCAGCAGCCTCTCAATTGTCAGCTTTAGAGTTAGCCAGCGAATGTATTATATATGTTTATGCAAACAAAATAAATGCCCAAACGAGATAAGCGAAATATCAACTCAACAAGTTCCCCTTTGCGAAGACGACGACAAAAAGTTTGCATGAGAGTAAAAGTGTATTTCGGTCGGATCCGACGGACAGACTGTCAAATGTCAATCAGCCTTATGCCGTTCCCCACTCTCCGAATTTGTACCACTTTCGCATGGACAAATATGGCAAAAACGGCAAGAAATTAGCATGTCACTGTGTCAACTCCAAGCAACCACAACAGATCGAAGCTGTCTGCCCGGCATTATCCTTTTAACCCACTTCGAGCGCTGGTCAGATGGTCGGTCTGCAGCAGCAACACTTGCTTGATCACTTCCGCAATATGTCACTTGCCATATAATTTATGCAGTCAAACGCAGAATTGATGGCTAGCCAAGAGTCTGGCCGAGGCAGAGGCAGATTACAGATGGGTTTTATGACGACGGCCAGGCGCTTCTTCCCGACCAAGTGGCGAAGTGGAGCTGCCAGGGAGGAGCGCGGAGTGGACTCGGATCTGGCTTTCTAATTGCGAGCACTTGCCGTTCGAGCGATAAAACCCAGCCACAGAGAGACACGGCGCGAGGGGGAGGTGGGGACACTTGCGTGCCCCGGTATCTGGTAACTGGTTCCGTGGGGCATTGCCAAATGTGTCCCGGGCCCCAGACAGACTCTAATTCACTTGACAGTTGAGCATTTAAAACGTGGGAAAAGATAAGCCAATCCGCAGTAACGCCAATCCAAGCCAATCCGTCGATTGATTTGTGTGGGAGCCCTGGCCGAAAGGTTTTCCGCTTTCCGCGGAAACGCTTCACGTCATCGCCGTTTTTCGTATGTATTTTCCCTGATAAATCATGGCGCAACGAGCTGACCGCCCCTTGCCAAGTCATAAACCAGAGGAGCAGCCCTCCTCCTGACCCTACACCCAAAAACTTACGGCTTTATTAGCCGCGCAAGCTGGGAGATGTGCTAAGTAAATAGCGAAGACGGCTCGGACACGGATGCCTTGGCTTAATGACACCGACACCGCCCCGAAAACGGGCCATGGGATAGAGTCCGATGCTCTCCAGTGGGAGGTGGGCACTGCGAACTGAAATTTATGTCCTCTTCTGCTTGTGGTTTAAGGCATATAGGAGACTTCAAAAAAATATTTTAAAAACATTTAGCTGCAATTTAAATGTAAAATATAAATTATAGTTTAAAGAAGGGTATATCCGATTTTTCTCTGGGTCTGTAGCTAGTATCCCCTGTCTACAAATATCGAGCTCCAATCTGATAGGGTATCTGAGCTTCTTGCTTTGGCGTCTGGATGTTGCAAATGCATTTCCACCTCGACCCGCCAACGATGTCTGACTAAAAAGCAACAAAAATGTTTATGGCTTTTTCCCGCCATCGGCAGCAACAACAAAAGGAGCAACAACAACAATCGGCAACAGCAGCAGCAACAACAAATGGCGAGGCATGAAATGGTCTCAGTTTTGTTGCCACAAATTTATGGCTACCAAACGGAGTTTTCCCCTCATTGTTCTCAGCTTGTTGCTTGTTATGTTCGCTGATGTTGCTGCCGCTTTGGTTTTCATTCATAAATTCCATGCAACAAGATTTTAGCATTTTTGCAGCACATTTTTGGTGCGAGAAATTTCAATTTGCTGGCCAAAGCGGTTAACATGAAAAACACTTTTCGGCGGCTTCTTTCGGCGGTGGCTTTGAATTACGGCCCGGACCGGGGGCATTGTCTTAGCCGTTGATTAATGGCCGCAGGCGATTACCCGCTTGGCCGATTATCGATTTCCGATCGGCGTTTGCAGGCGCCAAATGTGGCGGAACTCGTGATCTGCTCCTAATTTGATGGCCTAAACGGGCCATTACGCATACGCCCTGTGGGTCGCGGCAGCAGAGGATCGGCCAGATCACTTTCGATTGATTTTCGGCTCCAACCGGCTGCCCACTTTTATGGCCAACAACTTTCCTTTGAGCCGCGGCAGCAGCAGCACGCGCCAGCTGAGCAAACGGTTTTAATCGCGCTGCAATCGCCTCCAAAACGCGTGCAACCCGCAATTTTTAATTTATGCACAAGACTAAAATCGTAAAAAAAAACACAGAAACCATAAAAATTTAAATAGGCGATAGAGAGGGAGAGGCCGAGAGAGAAAGAGGGGCAGGTAAACTTTTGAGCTGCTGCGCGAAATAAAATTTTGATTTATGATCTTGTCGCTGAAGTTGTTCGTCAACAGCCGGCGACGGCAAGTAGCGTGTTTGTTGTTGTTGGCCGGAGCTGCTGAAGCTGCTGTACAAGTTTGTTGGCGCAACAAGTGCTTTCGGCCAGTATAACTCACTCGGCGTCGGTCGGTCAGTCAGTCATTCATAAAAGCAGCGGCCGCGTGGCACTTTTGATTTTGTTGCCGTTGCTGATGCTGTTTCTGTTGTGTTCGCTGTGTCTTTATTTTTGTAAGCCCATGTTCATGCCTGATTTTTATCTCCGAACAGTAAAAAGCGAAAAAGTAAAAGCCAACAAAAACGCATTTAATATATATTTCTCAGTGGCCGAAACGATAGCGAATGCGCGATTGGGAGCGATTGTTGTTGCGGCAGCGACAACAGCAACTATTGCGTGTGCTGAAGGCAACCAGTTGGGATGGGCCCACCCCCGAGCGCAGCAGCAGAAGATACTGCCCCATCCTCCTTCTGCCGCGGAACCATCAGCATATTTCTTCCACCGCTTCTTGGCCCGAACCCCGCGCTCCTCCCCGCCCCCCTACTACATGCTCTTTTGACTGCCATGGTTGACGGATTACGCAACTTGCCGGCCGTAGCATTTTCATTTTATTATTGTTATTATAAACTCTCCGCATTGTCGGTGGCGTTTTTCATTGTGCTTGGAAAATTTGTACATTGCATGCGATTGTTTGTTGTTATACGCTCCGCGGCAGCAACAACAACAACAGCAGCTCAACAAAAAATTTGTTTATAATTTTGAATGCAGCGAGCAGCAGCGGCAGCAACAACAACCGCCGCTAGGCAGGCAATGACTTCGAAACATATACAACAATGCCATGTCGTGGCAAAAAAATGAAAAAAAAAAACGCTACAAAAAGTTTTCTTTTGAAAAGGTTTTTGTGTTTCCCGTGTGTCGGACCTGCCCTAGAGTCAAGTGTCACGCACACTCCGTGCTCCATGCTCCATGCTCCATGCTCCATGCTCTGTACTCCATGCCCGGTCGCAGCCTCAGCTTTCAGCTCATTAAAGCCAACGCCGCATGCTAAAGCCAGTTCAAGTTCGCTGCCTAAGTCTTTCGTTCTTGTTAGCAAGGAGAGGGCAGAAAGAGATGGCGATATCGATGGATGGACAGAGCAAACAGAAACCTTCGCCGTTGCGAAGACGTGCAACCAAAGTGATTTCCAAATAAAATCGTTGCGGGCTGTTTTGGGCAACGCCTTCCCGAAAAAAAACGAAAACCGAAAGCCGAAAACCGAAAACAGTAGAAAGGAAAGCGGCAGCAACAGAGTTTCAA